AGGAAATAGGAAACAAATTTGCAATGCATGAGACTATGAGAGTCACCTTAGTAAATTTAATCGTCATACAAGTATATATTTTTGGAATGTTTCGGACTGTTGAAAGGAGAAAAGACCAAGAAATATATGTTTTTGTACTGGATTGCCATCAGAGCGGGGGGAAATAGGCTTGAGACACTATATTACCTTTTATTATACTAAATTCATTGATATACCAAATTTCTCAGCCATTTATGGCTCATGAAGATACTCAACTGGACAGTACTTAGATTCCTATTATGACTATAAAACTTAGAACACTTGTATATTACTCAGTTGTACATTTTTTTATCAAACAAATCATGTCTCCCTGAGATGAGTTAGGTCTCAAAGCATTTGAGATAACTTATGAAGCAGATGAAAATCTGGTTGCAATGTAACTGTCATGTTCATCATGCATATCAGTAGTTGACTGAATCTGACCAACTGACCCTTATTTTCTTGTACTTATGGTTCTCTCAATTGCTTGAGACCCTTAACTTACTTGCTTTAGATCTTCTGAAGAATATAAACTACCTCAACTTATAGACTTATATAGCTACTTGTGGAGAAATTGAATTTATTGAAGTTCATGGAAAATTTCAGGTAAACCAATTTGGAGTACAGACGGGGTGCATCACAATAGCTTCATAGTCCCCTCTTTCTCTGCCACCTTGACATCCTAATCTAATTTTTCGCCTTTTGTCTTTTTCTCATTGACAATTTTATAATCTAATCACACCTTAGATTGTCTGAATGGTTAACTTTTTATCTAAATTTTATGTGGTTCATCGTAGAATTTGGGTCTCATCTGTCTGGCTTGGATGGACAAGCACATGAATCCATATTTGGTATACATAGCCATGCTAAAAGTATTAGAAAATAAACGTTAATTAGTTAATCCTCTTGCAAATCATTATTAATATTTCTCTGTTCTCTGCTACCATGTCAATCTGGATTCTAAATTTTGTTGGAATTCTTGGAGGCATTTTTTCATCATGACATCATGTTGTTTAGTCCATGTCCATATGTACATGCATCGGTGTTATCAATGTACTTAAGGTGGCCTGAGCAAACTTGCATGTTAGTTATTGGTAGTGGTACCATACATTGTTATACAGTTGTAAAAGGATCTTTTTTATTTTTATGTTTACATGTGGTTATGCTTGTGAAACATTGTAGGCCCAAAAAGTAAAGGAGAAAGAAGAAGATGAAAGTCTAATGGCGAAGCTAGATGAAGACTTTAGTATGTTGGCCCAAACAGAGGCACTACAGGCTTTATCTCATCCAAGTAAGATGAATGCTTTGAAGGCTTTGTTGAACAAGGACATCAAGAGGGAGTCCTTAAAAGAAGGATCATCAGGTTTATCAGACAACAAACTTATTGAGAAAGTATGTAAACACCACAGCTTGCTTCCTTTAAACTTGCTAAATGTGTTGATGATGTTTTCCAGATGTGTCTCATTTATAACTTCTTTTCTTTGTTTTTCATATTCAGAAACTCTTATTTAGTTGCTTGTTAAGTCAAATTCTTCTACTTCTCTAAAGGCTTTCTTGAATATTTCTAAGCATTGAACTGAACATGAGATAGCACAAGATTAATTTTTTTATGTCAATTTTTTATTGATAACGTTATATCAGCTGTTTTTCTCATGCATCGTGTGTTGTCAAAGAAATATTTGTTAGATTTTAATTCCATTTTCTATTTAATTAATACTCTTGTGAGGTTGTGTGATCATTTAAGGAGCAATCTCAGTTCACTTTTCAGTGTTCCATGAGTAACGCTGCAGACAAAACTTGTCAAGGAGGCAAAACTTTCTTGTTTGATTCTGTTTGTCAGAAGTTGTCATTTTCTTATGTTGGAGTGGTGACAACTTTCTGAATAGAAAGCTTTCAAGTAGCTGTCCCTTTATTGAAGACATCCTTACCAAGGCATTCTCTTTCGTGATGCTTGGATTTGATGAAACTGCTTTTGGACAATTTGCTGCTTTTTCTTTGTAATTCTTTTCTTTTTTCCTTCATTTGCTGTTGCAAAACTGACAGGACTGAATTTATCTCATTTCTGTTAGCATCATTAACGTTCATTGTTTCCATCAGGGTCATCCTGATGCTTATGACAAACTTGTAAAAGAGCTGGGTTCAGATAGGAGAGCTCATGCATCAGACAGGACAAAAACTCCAGAAGAAATAGCCCAAGAAGAAAAGGAGCGTCTAGAAGAACTGGAGGTGACCTTGCATTGTTTTAAGAGACGATGTTTTACATCTCAGATGTCTTTTGTTCTTTAAAGAAGTGATGTTGTGGCATGTTAAACTTGTTTAGTGTTTCTTTTTTTTTTTCTTGTTTTGAATAATTTTAGAAGCAACGTCGAGAAAGGATGCTTGCTACCGATGATTCTACTGATGAAGGCAGTGATGATGATAATGTAGAAATACAAAATTCAGCATCAATTAAGATCAGACCTACTTCTGGGGATGATCTTGGAGACTCCTTTTCCATTGCTGATGATGTGACGGGCAAAAAAGGCTGGATTGATGGCATATATGAACAAAATGATGCAGATAATCAAGATGAAAGTGATTCATCTTCCCAGGATTCAGAAGGTGATGAAGATAATGAAGGAGATGGTGATGGGAAAGATGGTAGTGGTGATGAGCATGTAAATATATCCACCATGAAAGATTGGGAGCAAAGTGATGATGATGATGACGGTCTGAATATGGATGGTGAAGAAACAGAGAACATTGATGAGAAAGAAGTGGCCATTGGTGATAAGCTTACCTTGGATTTGCATGAAGTGAAAACTAGTTCATCTCATGAGATGAATGCTGCTGGAAATCTGGCTCCAGCAAAAGAGAAGGAACTTCCTTATGTAATTGAAGCTCCAAAGAACCTGACAGAGCTATGTTCCTTGCTGGATAGCCGTTCAGATGATGAAGTTGTGGAGATCATTAATCGGATTCGAGCATACAATTCAATAAGACTTGCAGCAGAAAACCGGAAGAAAATGCAAGTATGTCATTTTTGGTTTCCATTTATTGTCTATTTTCCTTGCCTTTTTCTTTATATAAATTCCACTGGGCATTCCTTTTCTGAAGCTTTTATCATTTTATGTATGTGGATGAATTTGTTCTCTTACGTTTGATTCTTTAACTTGCAGATCTTCTATGGTGTTCTGTTGCAGTATTTTGCTGTTTTAGCTACTCAAAGTCCATTAAATTTCAAAATTATAAATTCACTTGTTAAACCTTTGGTAGAGATGAGCGCAGAAACCCCCTATTTTGCAGCCATTTGTGCTAGGCAGCGACTGATACATATACGAACTCACTTCCTGGAGGATATTAAGAACCCAGGTTTGGAGACATATAATCATGTTAACTACTGTTTGGAACATTGACTTCATCTTAAAGTGGGCAACTTGTTTGTAATGTAGGAAAGAGCTGCTGGCCAACTCTGAAGACTTTGCTTCTGTTGAGGCTCTGGTCACTGGTATTTCCGTGCTCTGATTTTCGTCATGTCGTTATGACTCCTGCACTTCTCCTGATGTGTGAGTATCTGATGCGTTGTCCCATAAACTCGGGTCAAGATGCAGCACGTGGATCTTTTTTGTGTTCATTGGTATTCTCGGTAGGTGTGCAATCTCTGTTTTTTAAATTGGTCTAATTTGAAATTACTGGCATGTGTGGCTGCACTTGTATGTATCAATATTACATTCTTTTTACCTAAGGTACTTGGTGGTGTTGTCAGAAAAGCTTTTTTTTTTTTCCTGTAGGTGTGTAAACAATCCCAGAAGTTTTGTCCTGAGGCTATAATATACTTGCAAACACTGTTAACATCCTCCATAGAGTTAAAACTTGGACTTCAACAACATTCACAGGTTTATTTCACACCCTTAAAATATTTGTGCTGGAAGATGATTATCTTATGATATTCTGGTTGCTAAAGCTATTGTTGTCTGTCTTCTTTCCCAGTTAAACCATCTTATGGAGATTAGAGTGCTGAAACCTTGGCTCCACATAACTGATCAGACATGTGCTATACATCCTCTTGATTTCTTTGCAGTCATGGAGATGCAAGAAGAGTCACCTTTTTTTGCCACTGACACTTTCAGGCAAGTACAAGGTTCTCTTGATGTTTCTTGCCTCTAAGAATGTTTCATGTTTCATTGTTCTCTGTGTTATGCTCCCTTTCTTCAATGGCAGGGCCAGTGTTCTGTCATCAGTTTCAGAAACACTGAAAGGATTCATCATCATCTATGAAGGATTCAGCTCTTTTGCAGAAATATTCTCACCAATTTCCAATTTGCTGCATGAAGTGTTGCAAAATCCTAACTTGCCAGGGTTATTACGAGACAAGATGCAAGATGTTCTTGATTTGATCAAGAAGAAAACTGATGAACATCACATGTTTAGAAAACCGCTTCAAATGCGGAAACAGAAGCCAGTGCCAATAAAGCTACTGAATCCAAAATTTGAAGAGAAGTATGTGCTACTAAACTTGAGGTTTTTTGTCATTTATTTTTCATATATATATATAATAATAATAAATGGAAAAGCCAAATCTTTTTATGGTTCATGAACATAGGGTGCTTATGTTGTAAATAAATATACTATTCACAACATCTTTGCTTTTTGTATCTTTTAAAGGTTGTATATAAAGCCAAATCTTTAGTAGAGTGATGTTACTGGCAGGAACAGACATAAGTGTTGCTGACACTTCAGCTTTTAAAATTTCTTGGGTGCCATTGCTTGTGGATAGGTGGATAAGACAAAGCAATCTTAGATAAGGTCAAAATCCAACTTTGTTTATTTCTTTCTGTTTGGGAGGCACATTGCTTGTGTACTCTTCTTATACATGACTCCAAACTTTACCGTTCACTTCAAACTAGCTATTGAGAGATAAGACTTTGGTGGTGTTGTGGCATCTTTATGGTTCTTGTTGTTTATATATCTTATTTAAGTGAAATTATTTAGTATAATTAGAAGTTAACTAATTGAAACTTTCTTCATTTTGTCACTTTCAGTATAATTCTTGTGTAAATGCAAATATATGATTCTTATCTAAAATCTTTTTGCAGCTTTGTAAAGGGTAGAGATTATGATCCAGATCGAGAGAGAGCAGAGATGAAGAAATTGAAAAAGCTCCTTAAAAGTGAAAAGAAAGGAGCGATACGTGAACTACGAAAAGATAGCCAATTTGTGTCTGGATTAAAAGAGACAGGTAGGTTAATGCAGGAAGAAGAAAGAGCAGAGAAATATGGAAAGGCTATGGCTTTCCTCCAAGAACAGGAGTATGCTTTCAAGTCTGGACAATTAGGAAAAGGCAGGAAGAGGAGGAGATGAAACTTAGCTTCATTTTATGTCTGGTTTATATGTATTGTTTTCAAGCTTTACAAGGTATGCTACAGCTGCAAGTATTTTATTTTTATTTTTCTGTTCATATCATTCCTGTGTTTTACTTTTTGCTTGGTTTATATCCATCTTTTATTTGCTTTTTGCTTGGTTTATATTCGTCCTATTTTACCTTTTCTGGCTCAGGTCATATCCATCCTATATTTTTCTTTTTGCTTTTTGTTGGTTGTTTCGGGCATGTGTTTTAGTTTAACAAACTGCGTAAAATTTTAATGTCCTAAATATGTTTTGATGATCATTTCGTGCATAAAAATAGAATTTAGTGGAAACCCTTAATCTAGTTTTTTTATCATGTTGTTCGAGGGGATGCTAGTGTGGTTAGAAACTTTAGTTTCTCTTGTTGTTGTTGAAATTCATTAACGTTATGAGAGAATGAAACAATTGTCATTCGGGTGTAATTCAAATTTGGATGATGGTGGTATTCCAGGCAACATACTGTTCTTGTCTCTGTTGTAAGTCATTATTTTTTTTTTGGTTACCTTAAATGCTGCTGGAGGGCTAGAGACAACTGATAGTCGAATTAGCTAGCTCTTAGGTTGACACTTCTCTTACATGGCTTGTTTTCCTTGAGATATTTGAAACAGTTCCGGCACTGTGTTCTAGCACTAGTTGTTGGTATTGAGCCATATGTTCCAGCATTAGTTGTGGGTTGAACCTCAAATACCAGTGAGTTTGCATGGATCGGATCGGTAAAAGGTCCCAAACATCAATCAGTAAAAATTGTCTGACCAGTATTTGATACCTGATTCTAGAATCTAGAGTGCCAAGTTTGGGACCTTTTCTTATGCCTTTGCTTTCATTTGACACTGTAGCTGTGTAATTTCAACTCCAAGGCACATTACTTATAATTTGACATGACCAGAAACTAGACATTCTTGAACTTTGAGAACCTCACAAATCAAGAATCTCTTGCAGCTTCTGCAACTGCTCAATTTGGTCTGTTATAAATGTGCAGTGTCACATGAGAACCACTGGGATCAGGAAGCACAGGTAGCCCATCTGTAATTAAAAAAAAAAAAAATACAAATTACTTTGTGGTTCAAAGTACACATAGTGGTCTTAGTTGAATCCCAATTGATTCATTTAGAATATTCTGTGGTCTACACTCTGTGCGGTTGTACCATATCTGTCTTGCGGAGCAGAAGGACAGTAGTTTCCTTTAACTTGCCTTTAGTGTTCATTGATTTTTTTTATTTTCAAGAGAAACTCATGGCTAGGATGTGATATATGTACTAGCTCAAGAAATCATCCAGGATTTCAATATGATTCTGAAAATATTCAATTGAACATACTATAACGACTAAGTGTTTCTTAATGACCACTTGCAAATAATAGACTTTGTGCTATAATGTTAGTTTTGCAGTTTGTATGATTTGTATTTACATACTTTTTAACTGTGTGAACAACTAATCAGCTGCTGTCAGCTCTTGTAATGTAGTTTATTACCCATTGTGATGTTTGCCACATGAAATGCTTAGCATATTGATGCTACTTCACCTAAGGGCTAATCATTAGCAATGTGGAAGTGAATTTCTACTATTGGTTTTTTTTTTTTTTTTTTTTTTTTTTTTCTGTCCAATGTGTGTAAGACAAAATATTTGTGCTAACACTTCGAAGCTTCACAAGTTCTTTTTTTTTTCATTTTTTTTTTCTTTGGGTTGAGCACATGGTGCACACAGGGTGTATGATCTGCCACCCTGAGCAGGAGAAGACAGGCCTTTATGCACCATAAGGGATTTGAACTAGTGATTTAAGTTGCCCAAGTTGGCCGTCAGCTTTTAGAACTGCATTATCAACGAGATTGTTTAGCCATTATTGCTGTTTACATTCTCTCGTATACTAATTAGTGGCTCTCCAAATTCCAGGAGTCTGCAAGAGGGTTGTTCTTATAGCTGATTCCGAAAAGGGCTTTAGATTAGTTTGAACTTGCAGAGGTATTTCCAACCAAAGAATTGAAGAACTCAAGTGTATCCTCCAGTTAGGGTTTTAGATTTGGTTGCTCCCTTTGTGCCATTCTAATGCATATCTTTACCAGCTCGAGCTTGTGTAAACTTAATTGTTTCTTAAATTATTTAAGCTAAATTTTTGTTTCCAACATAAACGGCCCGTAGTTGGCTTCATTCTGTATAAATATGCATCATTCAAGCTTTTATTTGAGCACTTGAGAAATCGAAATATCAGCTGCGATGGTTCGTCTTCTCGACTCTAATAACAACAGTTTCCATGCATGCAACTGATAGCATTTTGCTAACAAGATGTTAACGAAGGTGAGAGCAAGCTCATGGCTTTGAAGCAAGCCGCGGATGTTCTCCAGAGTGCAGCTTTACGGGGAATACTTTTGAATTCCCATGCCGTCGTTGTGCCCCACCCCCGATGGTTTACCCCCAACTGCATCACCGGATCTCCAACATAAATAATATACAACTAACCTATCATTAACATCTCCCGATACCAACAGAAGATTTATACGCTTTGCATCAATTGGTTTGGCTTACGATAAGAGGCCATGTCTTTTTATCATCGAAAAGAAAAGAAGTGCATTATGGGATTACATATATTTTTATTCCCGAATTCCTCGGTGCAGAGGAACGGTTGTTCTACAGTACCCTCCTCTCTCTCTCTCCCTCCATTGGCGGGTCCCAGAGGCGCGCGCCCATCATTATCACTCCACGCAAGCGACCTGCTCCGCGTTAACCAGTTCCGGCGGAACACGGGAAAGCTCCTTTTGTCTCACTCTCACTGTGACTTGCGGCGCTCTGCGTCCTCCGCCGCCGCCTCTTCTCCTCGCCGCTGATCCGTCACGCCGTCCGCCGCCTCGTCGTAGTCCCTCGTTAGCTGGCCGTCCTCCGGCCGGCCGGCGACGTAGTTGATGAGCTCCTCCCCGGAGGTCTCCCCCGGGGGCGGGGAGATCCGGAGGAGGACGGCGACGGCGACGAGCAGGAAGCCGGTGGAGACGAGGAGAGGCCAGAAGAAGCCGGCCACGGCGGAGAAGCTGGGGCCGAGGCTGAGGAGGGAGAAGAGCGCCGCGACCAGAGCGGCGGCGACGGCCAGGTGGAACCGGTGCTCCACCGCCGCCTGCATCAGCTTCTCTTGGATCGCCATGGGGAACCAACCACCAAACCCAACCAAGCGGAGGCTTCCTCTTCTTGCAGAAGTGAAGAAAGACAGGATTCTCTTCTGCTGCCAAACCTTTGTTTTCTTGTCCTTTCCCTCTCTCTCTCGTTCTCTCGCTCCCTCAGGGAGAGAGAGAAAGGCAAGTACTTCTCGCTCGGTCTCCCCAAAGTACCCCTTACACCTCCGAGATCTCCACTCTCATCAGTCTTTAAAGAAACCGTCATAATGATTACAATGCACATCTCATTAGAAAACAGCGATATTTATTTCTTATTTCATTTATTTATGATCACGCAGCAATCGACGGAATGAATTAATAGAATGTCCCCATTTTTGTCAACTACCGTCGTAACGGTTGTCGCTTCGGACACCGCGTCTCGACAGGGGACGGACTTGGCATTGTTGGATTTGCTGAGGGCAAAGATGGGCGGAAGGCAACGTTAGGCTACGGTGACGTGTCGACCACGTTCTTCGATGCGCCAAAGGCATATGATAAACTTGTGGGCAGAAGAGGCGGGGGCCACCGTCACGGCCTTCTCAATCTCCAATCGTGGCCGTCGGATTCGGATCCGACGGTCTTCTGTGGCGATCTCTTAATTCACGGGTTGGACCAATTGCCAAGGACGTTTCACGAAGACGATTATTAGAGCCACATCCGTTGCACATGAAGGAGAAAGAAATCCTTTTTTTTTTCTTTTCTTCCAACTTTGCTAAAAACTCTTCACATCCATTTTAATATGCTTATCTCAATATCAAAATTAATTAAAATAAATTATTATATTAGAACTTCGATAAATAAAAGATGTAATTTGGGGTGTGTGTATACTTAGTAACATTGTAATTTGATTAATGAATCCAATTGATTTTGTAATTCTAGACATCTGTTTGCTGTGAGGTAATGCTTTGGTTTAGGAAAATTCACAAAGCACATACTAACCCATTAGCTTGGAAGTTAAAGCTGACAGTGCAATTTCCATTATTCTTGTTTGTTGTTTCTTTGCCTCTGACCATAGCCAGTCCAAGCAATTGGTAACTGCAACTGCAGCACACAGCTGCCAAAAAGGATGGTGATGACAGGATATTCAATTTAGGAAGGTCATAAATTCCTTTTTCTACTTGTGTAATACAAGTTGCTCCTGCATAAGCTGCCCTGATGTAGTTATGCAGAAGCCACATATAGTCTAGACACTGAGCTCTCTGCATGACTAATAGCATGAATCGAATAATCGTACGCGCAAGACAGTTTAATCGTACTAATATCATTAGTATGTGTTCAGAAATCACTCTGCAGTAGTAATTTACAGAAAGCCTAGATGGTAGGAGTCATCGGAAAATACACACATTTATTTCTCATAGTTCAGTTTGCCGGTTGCCTCGGTGTTCCATTTATGTTTAGCAACCAAACGCGCACTATGTTTGTCGGGGCCATTGTTGCTTGATTCACTATTAGGCTAAATGAAGTTTCTTCTTGCTTGTCGATGAACCATGAGTCCTCGATCCTGCACCAAGTAGGCAAGTAAATAAGTCAGATCGGTAACAAGTTATCGGGTTACTGTAACATCTTCGCCCACCTGTGTGATGCTGAACCAAAGGGAACTCGACGAGAATGATGAAAGATGATCTCTCTGCTTCTCTAAGATATTGTACAGTTCCGTTCATGATCTTCACAAGCTTTTGGCTGATGAAAAGACCGAGGCCTTCCCTTGACATACCCTGACTGTGGTGGAACATCTCCTGCACCAACGTCTCTGGTATTCCTGGTGCTGGATGAATGATCCTGAAAATAAAGTATCATTATTAATTTCTTCAGTGCAATTGATCTTTGATTTACAGTTTAATGCTGTACAAGTTTACTCGTGTCTTCAAAAGATCACATACTATCCTGCTAAAAGCCTAAAACAGTGAAATAATTGATGTTCAGATTCCCGTCAAATCAAATTCTACTGAGTTGTTTATGTGAACAACAAAATTTCAACCCTGAGAACACTCCACATGCATTAGATAGAGCATTCCCCTTGGAGAATTTTTCAGCATGAGTTTTCAGAACTGGACTACCTGAATTTGAGATGAACTACTTGCACTCCGGTTCCTATACGTTCCTTTCTTGGAATGACCTGAAGTGCGATTGATCCATCAGCCACCGGTGCAAACTGAAGAGCACTTGACAAGAAGTCTGCTAGAACCTGCTGCAGCCTCAAGTTATCCCCATACAAATACATAGAAGATACTTCCGCAGGCCAATCTTGAAGAAGCGCCACCTCCCGTTCCCTGCTTAGAGCCATGCCTTGGTTTATGACTGCATCCAGAGCTTCACCGAGGTTAAACTCTACTGTGTTCAGCTCCATATAGCTGTTAGGAAGTCATGCCTGTTAATAGGTGCTTATGTATACTTGAGGCCAAGAATGAACCGATTAACATGAAAGCCTAAATTGCAAAAGCCAGCATGCTTGCAAATTCTATGTGGGGATCCACACAAACATTTGTCACTTTCTAAAGAGTGTCTCAGAGTATCAAAAACTCAAAATGATGTTTACTGCAAGAAATTAATCTTTTATGAGGCGGAAAATAAATTTGAAAAAGATTAATAAATTTTAATATCCATCACTTATTCCTCACACAAATATATTACATTGGATTTTGATGTTACATTCTACTCTGCAGCTATTTTTCACATAATGATATAAATCATGCATGATTACTCCTGAACCAGATTGTGAACTTGGTTAAAAGTATAACAGCTTTCGAAAATCTCATATAGATTACTCCTGCAGCTCAAATTTTTAGAAACAACAAATTATTTTTGTCAATTGGAAATTTGCTTGGTTGTTAAGAAATTCAACATCATCAAATGACAGACGTACATGACAACTTTAGGATCTGGTCACATGGAACATAAGAAAGATACTCATTTACCATGTGTTTATCTTGACAATATATTGTGGCTAATTTTACCCCCTAAAAAGTCACTTATGATTGTTCACACCAAAAGTATTTTTTATTCTCAGTCTCTGAATGGACTTCAGATGCTTCTGAACAAATGAATAGCATATCCAGAACCACAACTTTGTCCCGGGAGGTCTAATTATATTTCTAGGAAAGCTAGGCAATCTAATTTCCACAACCCTATTGATAGATAAATTTCAGGCAAAGTCAAAATAAGAAATGAAATGCATACCACTGTTCAATGCTATCTAAATCCATGTCATCTAAGATCTTTGCCAACTGCTCTTGGCAGAGGGCTTTCCTTCTAAGAAGTTGCTTCTGCTCCTCAGTTAAGTCAGTTGCCTCCATCAAGTTTTGCGTAAATGTAATGCCGTTTAGTGAGTTCCTTATTTCTTGACGAAGATAAGCTAGTTCCTTGAGACTGTTTATCGCAGCTTGTTCAGACAACTTCTGCACTTGCAAGGCATGTTGAAGCTCTGGACTGGCAACACGCATAAAGCATAATGCCCCAGTATTTTTCCCCTCAGAATCAATCCTCTTGTTTGCGGAGAGCAATGCCTCAACATACTTACCATTAAGGTCAAAAAATCCAAATATAAACTTGTCGGCATCTTCGCCTGCCATTACACCATTCAATACTATCCTTAACTTGGTCAATGTGTCATGGTCCTTGACCCGACAGCCAAAACCATGAAGACAGAACAACTCCCCAACAAGCATCTTGTCAATTGCATCCTTCCTCTTTATGCCTGATACCTTTTCCATGGCTGAATTCCACTCGAAACAGCAACCATACTCGTTGACTATAAAAATAGGGGGGATCAGCTCATTGGGATTTTGCACTATTGCAACGTAATCACCTTGAATGCGAGTGTACTTATCCATCATCAGTTTCTGACCGGTCACATCTTGCGCGACAAAGCAAACACCAACAATATTATCCTTCACGTCACGGCTGCAGCAAGAATTGACGACTAGGATCACAGAGCTATTACTTTCCTGATGGCTGAATGACTTTAGTTTAATCTCAATGTTTTTCTCTTCCTTTCCTGCGTTAGCATCAAAAAGATATGCATGAGGCCAAATACAAATGCAACATTTAAGTGGTATGAAATTGACTAGAAATAGAGGCAAGATGCGCTAAAGTATATGCTCACCTTGCAAAGCCAAGTGCAGCACATTTTTTGCCACGTCAACTGAATCATCCTTGACAATATCAATCAGAGGCATCCCAATAGCTTCTTGCACAGGTAAACCAGTCAAATCTGCTGCTTTGCTATTCCAGCCGTTTATGTTACCTGATGCATCAATTGCCCAAATGGGCACACTTGCAGTTTCAATTAGACGAACCATTTCATTTGTAACAGTACGCAGTTCGTCCACCCATTGGATCTTGTTTGCATCATCCGGTGATGCACTCACAATTATCTTTGAATCAACATCAACAGTCTCTCCTTGCAGAGAGCCACGCAATATGAGCTGCAACGAATGGATTGCATCCATTTCAACATCCTCCCAAGGAAGACTCCTCCTCTTCACAACCTCTAAGAAGGCCTTAAATGAAGTGCGTGGATGCATTCTTCGGTCCTCATCGTCTTTATCAACAGGTTCATGTTTAGCACCGCCCCATATGATCTCCTTTGCTGTGTGTGACCTGAACCAAAAGAGAAAATCCCTGGAAGAAATCTTAATTGCAGCCATGCCACAGACTGCATCTCCGAGTTCAGCAGCACCGGGATAACCTGCTTCTGTCATGCTGTCGGTACTCAAACCAGTAGAACCATCATGGCACTCCACGAGCCATGCTACGATATCCCTTATCTGTGCTTCGGTAGGTGTTGTTTCGAGCAGCCAAACCTGGTTTCGGTAATAAAGTGCAGCACCATCACACTTAACAAGATCCATAACATTTGGAGACCGGGTGAAGATACCAATTGGTGCATCACGGAGAAGCATATCACAAAGAAGAGTTTGTGTTCGAAGGATGTGCTTCTCCTTTAACTGAGCTCCAAGCTCTACCTCTTTGTTCAGCTGCACCCCAAATACCTGCATGAGGAATTCGCAGGCATATCTAAGTGGAAAAGGGATAAACCTCGGACTGGTGTGATGACAAACCAGCAGCCCCCAAAGCTTCCGCCCCTTGTGCTGCTGATCACCACCTGCTTCGTCTTCGTCCTCACTGATCGTGACCGACATTACAAGAGACGCAGTGGAGCCCATGTTTGCCATGTACTGAGAGTGGCAACCATGAGGTGCTCTCAAGGTCGAACCACAGAGACTCAGAGGTTGAGTCAATCTCTTGTCCTGGATCACTTTAACCGGTGGAGCAGAACAGTCGCATATCATCCTAACCTTGTTCTTCATGAAGAGAAAACGTGAAGCCTGCGGGATATCAGTGGCAGGGTAATGCAAGCCAAGATAAGACTCCAATTCTGGTCTCCTGCACTCAGCTATGACTTCGCCATGTTCGTCTTCGTGAAACTTGTACGCCATCACCCTGTCATAGCCCGTAAGATCGCTCACTTCCCGTACCAGAACATCACACAAGAGGGAGATGTTCCCACTAGGCAAAGACTGCAGCCTCGAAATGGCTTTGGCAGCCAGTTTATAGGATTTCAGTGCTCCTGCTGCCGTCACCGGTACATCGGCAGGGTTGACAGGCTCCAAGTCTATCACCAATCCCACATCAATCCGGTGCATAATGGCGTAGAAAGGCTTGCCCGAGCTTCTGCAATGTACCAATATGGGGTTGAGGAGATTGACGTCGCTGAAGCCAGCGGCCTTCTGCAGCGCCACCGAGCTCGGAGATCGGAAGAGAGTTCGGATGTCGGTGCCAATCGTCAAGGCCTCCCGCTGCTCCATGGTGGGGACGGCGTGCGGCGCCAGGTCGAGCATCTCGGGCGCATTCTCGCTGTAGGCAATTATGGCTAACGTCTCGTCTTCGACGGCCAGCAGGCACCCAAAAGGCTGGATCAGCTTCCCGCGCTGCATCGTCTGGAGATATGTGGAGACGGCGGAGGAAGGCACGGCGCTGCTGTCGGCGCCGCTCGACCGGTTGGCAGCGCCGATCGAGGAGGAGTAATCGAACGGGTGATCGGGGTCCTCGAAGTCGGCATGGAGCTTGGCGTCCAAGGTGGTCTGGGCGACCACGCGAGCGCTGTGCTTGGAGCGGGCCGAGCTGCTCCTGGAGCAGCTCGCCCTGTTGGACCTGGATGACATCTCTCACGTCCCCGCTCCGCTCCTATCGACGGGAATGCCGGGGGAACACCGAGGAGGAAGACTTCTCTTAGTCAATTCGTCGAATTGGGGAACGACGACAGATGCCAAGAACAGATAATGAAATCGAGCGCAAGAGTTAAAAAAAAAATGACCTCGCTACAGACCGAAGCGGAACGAAAGGATGCAGAAAAGGAGAGGAAGAGGGGGAAGAAGGCAAGGCGAGGGTCCAGATTCCTCTCTCCACTTCTCCTTTTCCTCCATCTGCTATCCCACCCTCTTTTTTTCCTCGGCAAAGTCTTTTGTTTGGTCGACAATTCTCTCTAAAACCCCAATAAATCCCCCACAAAAAGAAACAGAGCTCGAAAGGAAGCGCGACAAAATCCTCGAGACGATAACCGCGCGGACACGAGCGGATGTTTATTAATTGATGTACCAAGTGATTGGATACAGAGAGAGAGACCTTTTTATCTACACGATATTACTTTTATTATTATTATTACTAATTCTTTTTCCTTCCAAAGCCAACAACAAGGTTTATTATTATGTAGAAGAAGAAAATTAAATATTAAGGAAAGACTGAAAATTAGTGGAGGAGGAAGAAGCCCTTGTAGGTTGTAGCGATTAAACAAGCCATAATCTCGTATTGTTTTTTCGAGAAAAAGAAAAGAGAGAGAGAAAAAAAAAAAAGGGGGATTGATTGGGTTGCTATTTTCTTTCTCGCCACAGACAGAGAGAAACGAAGGGAAAATAAAAACAATTCAAAAAAGGTCACGTGAAATTATAAACTGGGACGGGCCCACCCATCACTGCAACAGACATGCGACATGACGAGAGGGGAGCCGGGGCACGTGGGCTAGACACGTGGCTTTAAGATTGTCACTAGAATTGGTGAGCCGACGACCACATGTTGGCCCACCATCACGTGTTACGTGGGCCCTTCCATTATGCCTTCGATCCGAATTGGTGAGTCTGCCTGTTACTCTACTGCTGGTTCCACAATTCAGCTGCTATCACGACAATATTTTTCTGATATTTCTGATATATATATATATATATATATATATATATTAAACTGTTTGTTTTATATCAAGACACTACACAAAATGGCACATGTTTCTGCACGTGTTTTCCTTCTCCACACACAGTAAGCAATATACAACGGGATATTCAGAATCAACCTGATAAGACCCTAAAATCTTATCGTAAAAAAGAAGAAGAGAAAAGGGATGATCACTTCGAGGGGATCGGCCCTCCTTGATCGTTTCGAGAGGATCGATCTCCTAGGGTTTGTCAAAAGACAAAAATAGTATTTTTCATAGAGTACTGAAAAGAAGTAGTTACATCTCTATTTATAGAGTTCCACTCAGGACTTAAACTCTAATAATAAATAAATATTAAATAAACCTCTACTTGATTCTAATTGAACCAAATCAACTCAATAAATAACTGAACTAAACAGACTCAATAAATATTATTTAAAAACTCAGAAAAAGGGTGTTAACACAATCATTTCCGATTGAGGTGTCAAAAGAGTAGCTGATCAAATATGGAGAAATAGAAATGATGATTAGCCTGTGACTTGAGAGTGACCCTTTTATAATATAATATATAAGTACATGGTTGTTGGATTTAAAATTATGATTAACATTAAGAATGATTGTATATGTATTATCTGATCATTAATACGATCACTAATGATTAATCTGAGATATGTAAAATAATAACTTATTAAATCAATTTTTAAACATCACGTGACCGATCTATCTCATGGAATAGTTGTATCAATCTCTTATCGATGTTGTACTTTTGAGTTTTATAAATTTGGTCCCGACATAATATGTCGGCTGCATAAGATTGAAATGTCAATCACAATATGACATGGTGGACAACTGTTGTCCACGTGTTATATTCTCGCATTTACTGTCATTTCTTGTTACTTCCCCAGCGCAGTATTTTACGACCTACAAGATTGTTCACTTGGACAAGGCAACACGCTAGCACGTTAGGTAGTGAATGAATAGGGACAGTAGGGCTCCTCTTCCAAGCTGTATGAAGATGTATCATGTTCTCATCAATCAAGTGGACCTTTTATTTTTCAATTTAATCTTGAAATATTATAAATTATACATATACTCACAGCAAATTCCTTAACCTTTAAGAGTCTTCCGAACGAGTGGTATTTTTCTTTACTTGCATGATCATTAATCACCGAGGCTCGAGATGTTAGAAACAAAATGTTAGAGAAATGAATTCGAGAGAATCCAAAGAAAACTATACGGGCCAAAGCACCGGCCATGTTATTCCTCTCTTCCACTAACATCCGTCCAATAATTCAGGTAGCTAAAAGCACGGACGACGCCGTTTTGGGGGTACAAGACCCAAAAGATAGATCGAGTTTTACTAGGAAATGCATTTGCTTGAGGAAAGGAGAGAAGACCACTTACAATGGGAGTGAGTGACATGATTGAGCCATCCACATCGATGACGTCGAAGCAAGGAGGACGCTACCTTTTCTGTTTTCGAGTGGTTGCCTGCAAGGAGGAGGAAATTTCACGCAACGGACCACCATGTGGCGTTGTCGTTGTCTCGTAACCACTTAGCTCTGCTCTCGTGAGATGGGGACTTCAATTCCACAATTATGTCGTCCCTCCATGTACTTCATTTTAGCTGCTACAACAATGCTTGCAAGAATTCGACTGCAGACATCAGTATCAGCCTCATCTGATCGATCATTCCATGTCAACATTTGTGGCTCTGTCAAATATATATTATGCATGCAGATATATAAAAGAAAAGGAAAAAAAAAAAAAACAACTTTCTCCCAGAAAATGGTAATCTTTTCTAATTGAACTCAGAAAACAATACTAATCTGAGATTGAAAGTTTGATCCAGCAACGAAGAGAGATCAATTTCTACTGGAAAGAACTCCTGAGCTCCAAGTCCAAATCGACTCTCTGAAGGTTGACCTGAAATAAAAAAAAAAATTATATTACATCATGACCTTTTTTTCAACTTAGGAAACATATTACATGCTTCTCAACCATTTCTCTTTGCAGACAACTTGATGTCATCGAACACATAGATAGTATAAGCAAGCAAAAATAAGGCCTCACCTGGTATCAAATTTCAAGCATCAGCAAAATTAGATGAAAAGAGAAAATTAATCCATAAATCTAACAATCTATGAATTGTAGCATATGGTTTACATAAAAACAAAATCGATAAGAGTAATGTTTGTCTTAAAAACACATGAATGCAATACAGTATTGGAAACCAGATGCAGCAGGAAGGCACTACAAGTGCAGAAAACAACAGGGGGAAACAATCGAAAGGGCAACAATTCTACCATTCTTTGGGCCAACACAATTGGTCCCATCTTGCTCTCATGTCTTTATATGATCATCACAAAAGCAACCGTATCATGTTGAAGAGGTAGATTGGCTTGTAATCCATGAGAAATAAGATGAACCGTCAAACATCTCTTGTAGAGTAGACAGAAACCACAATAGAGGCAATTCTTTCCTGGTTAGATGGAAGAACCAGATGAAAAAGTACCTAGATTCTATCCAACGATAGCGCAGAACAGAATGTTGCTCTCGTATCTTTATATGATCTAAAAGCAACTGTATCGTTGAAGAGGTAGATCAGCTTGTAACCCATGAGTCATGAGATGAACTGTCAAACATCTCGCGTAGTGTAGACAGAACCACAAGAGCTGAAGACAGTTCTATCCTGGTTGGATGGAAGAACCAGATGAGAAAGTGCCTAGATTCTATCCAACATGAGCTCAGAACAGATTGTCACTTTTGACACGACTGCATATTAGTGAATCACTGTTTTCTTCTGTAGAGGAGATCAGATAGAATAAAGTCACCCTTTCGGTACGTGGAGTATCTAGCTCCTCACATTTTCACTTTGTGCAAGCCAGAATGTGCCCTTTTGTGTGGTAAGGAAAATGCTATCTTATAAGACTCAAGCTTCTTTTCACGCAGAAATCCTCGCAGAATGTAGTAATCTTTTGGCAATAATTTCAGAAGTCAAAGATTCATGACAATATTAAATATACATGATAAGTCACTTTCTCATAAGACAACCCAAAAATGAAAGCAGTTGTTTATAAAAATACGATAATTTTTATTGGACAATCTAGAAGTTATTGTGTGAACCTCCAAAACTAGTAGATGAGTGTTGTTAACACATTCAACATTAGGATATCATTATACTGATAGAAGCAGTCAACTGAATCAGGAGAGAAGCTTATTCCAACTGACAAATGAAACAAGAATAAAGACGCAATATTAAGTTAATCTAAAATTTATAATTCCATATTTACCGTATGTTTGATGCCTCCATTCTATTGTCAGTCATAAAATTGAACTTATCATCAAATGCAGTTCCGTCTTTCAAGCAAAGCATACACAGGATCAAATCTGTTAGGCCCTTATATCTAACACCTGCATTTGAGCATATGGATTACACGCATTTATGGGTGCATTTCAAGTTTCTTGTGAAAATATTAAATAACAAATTCATTGGACATTTACCTGTGGACCAGTTCTCAACAAGCATTGAGCTGTAAGGATTAGTAATTTTGTTTTCCTTTCTTTAAAATGCTTTCGAGGTAACCTGTCCTGAAGAAACTCATGCTCCCTTATTATCTGTAGAGAAAACAAAAGTTAATGGCTTATAAAACAATGAGAACAAAGGAAGAAAAGTAGCTATTCGACATGGGACAAAGTTTGGGAGAACCAAATTATACAACAGACGTAGACTGTAAGATAGCTAATACAATATAAAGAGAAGCAGACAATCTGCTTCTAGCTCATAGTCCCTCAACTTCTCAAAGACTCTAGCTTACATGTATGCTAACCAGATTATGATCACAACCAAATTCGTATCCAACTCAATATTGCATAAACATTTGCACAACAAAAATGAACCACCAAAGACCAAAAGGAATAAGAAGACCAGATAGAAGTAAAAAGTTATCATCAATAAACAATGATATTGTGTACCTCATTAGCTAAGTATGATCTTGGAAAATCACATAATGCCGAAATCCATTCATCACCTGATGATGTTTCCACAACATAACACATGTAAGCAAAACTCAGATAAAGGACTCGGTCACTCTGGTCGATCCAGCCTCAACCCTTAAAACCTTGGTAGCCACTTCGCACCTGCCATACCTGTTTCATCCAACTGAAATATTGTTTCCCCATTATCGATACATGCACTCATCTTCCCTTGTCCTGATGCAGCTTGCACTTTCTGGAACGGGCAGCAGTAATCCTAGGAGCTCTCAGAGTGGAAGCCACATTCCGAACGAAGATGGACAGTAGTCCAAATTGTAGCGTGCTAATTATACTCATCAAACGAACAAAACTCCTCCTCCCCATTTCACTCAAACACTCCAATTAAGGCAATAACCCACATTGCCAATCTTCTCAGCAACCAGCGAAGACCTTAGAGCTCACATCAGAGGGCACCAATTTGGAAGTATAATGCTAAGGGCATTTCATGGGCTTCACTCCTGTACCAACTTTAATTTTCAGTATGCGTTTAAATAACATATAATGGTCCTCTTCACCGAATAGAATATGACCAGCGAATTCCTCGGGCTCCTCCATGACATCCCACTGTATTCAGCGGCCACCACCGGTGAGGCTTCAACGAAATGAGCTTTGGTCACAGGTGGCTTTCAGTATCGGCCACCCGTTCTGTTGCACTTATTCACCCAAGATCAGCTTGACCGGGCAGAACTGGATTCCCTAGATGATCCTATCAGTCTCGGTCTGGAGATCCGTTGATTCCCTTCGCCTCGGCGAGGATGCTTACAACCACCTGGAGCTACAGGGAGCAATCGTGCACATAAAGGACGATCTCTGTGGTCCTTGATCAGGTTTGCTAAAAGATGCATGATCGTTGGGGCAATTTCTTCCATTGTCGGTTTCGGCAACTTGAGCTGTCCCACCGACGGGCGATCGTTTTCCCAAGCAGCACAACTTTCCATGTTCACGAGGGAGAAGAAAATGCCGCTCTCCATCATCGAGCATAAAGATTACAAAAGGGAGCACTCACCTCAAGGCAAGATCATCTTTCACGGCCCCGAGATCCCTGCAGAAGGCCGTCGATCTCGCGATTCTTGAAACCCTAGGACATCGAACGTCTCCAACTTGTAACCCAAATAGACGCCAAGAACTCGGCTACGAGCGTGCCGCAAGCGCAGAGGAATGGATCGATCGGATCAATCAACGACCTTTCTCTGGAAGCTACGGGAATCGAGGAAGCAGAGGTGGCCCCGCGAGAACGTCTCGAAGAGGCGAAATCGAAGAGGCCTTCGGCTGCCATCCCGCATCTCGGAGTTCCAATCGATCGAAAACGTAGGGAAAAGTTCAAGCGCAGGAGAAAGGTTCTAAATTTCTCTAATACGAAAAATTAAAATATTGTTATTTTTATCACTCGGATAACGGCAGATCGCTTGCAAACGTAAAGTTACGTACATCTGATGACTATATGCAATTCATGCGTTATTGAAATGGCCGGATGCCAAATTGGTCGCAGAGAGAATCGCTCTACCATGCTCTCATCGTAATTTTGAAGCAACCCTCGAGGAAGCTGAGAACCGATACAGAAACCCATCATCAAACTGTGGGTGACAAGATCCTCCTCGATCCTCATCCATAGAATTCTACGTCTCCTGCTCGTCCACGCCCACAGGGTCCCTCTCGGTGTGCGTAATGATAATAATACTCGAGAGACGTGGCCGAGTGCTACACCATCACATTGCCATCTTGATGAGAGAGCCAAACTTGTTGGTGCAACCTGGCCGGAGAAGCGACCCGTCGTTTTGTCTGCCAGCGCAAAAGCTTGGGCGTATGGAAGTCCAGCTTTATCCGCACGCAGCACATGGCTCCTGGGCCGCGACCTCCTCATCCGCCTCGGTCCCACAGCGGGCAAAGGAGACGACGACAATGGAGCCGAGGCAACGCATACAACCACCAGCGTCGCCATCGCCACCGTCATCACCGTGGTGGTAGGCGACACATCTCCATCCCATCCTCCTCATGCTACCTAGAAAAGAGAACAAAAGAAAGGAAAAGGTCGAGCAGGCATTGTTCCGGGAATTCCCGGTGGGACCCACCCGTCGCTCGGGTAGCACCATCCTGAGATTTCTTACAATCGCCCCCGTCTCGATCGAGACAGAGGAGCCGCAATCGGTGGATCTTCCTCGCCGGCGCATCATTCATGACAAAAGGCTACGAGGCGAGCACATCGCAGAGCACCAACTATTTTGATATCCTCGATCGATAAAGATGGGAAATGCTTCAACATTATTTAAGCGTTCTTACAATATTAAACATATAGGAGGATGAAATCATCATCATTATTCACCCCCCCCCACCCTTTTATGTATCACCATCTATTATTATGGTTCAACATCGTGCGACGACTGAGAAGAACGCAGGATGGGAACGTATATATGTGAAGGGAATTACATGATGAAGCAGCCATAGTAGGGCTCCTCCTCGCACACGATCTTGTAGCCGTCTGCTTCGTAACACGGAGGGCGACCGTAGTACATGGCCGGCGGTGGCGGTACTGCGGCTGGCGGCGGTGCACCGTCGCTTACCTGGCCGCAGGAGCAGCAGCGGCAGCACCCGTGGCGCGGCTCGTAGCAGGGACACGGCTGGTAGCAACAGACCGGCCACACCGGGGCCGGGAACGCCCACAGGGGCAGCTTCACCAGTACCTCGGGCGGCGGCGCCAGTGGGGCCGGCACTGGCTTCGGTGGAGCCGGTTCAGGCTTAGGCGGTGGTGGATCGGGAGCGGGCGCTGGAGGCGGTTCAGGTGCTGGCGCTGGCGGTTCGGGGGCGGGCGGCGGCGGGGCCGGTTCAGGTGGAGGCGGTGCCGGTTCTGGTGGGGGAGGAGCCGGTTCGGGTGGAGGAGGGGCCGGTTCAGGTGGCGGAGGAGGAGGAGGAGGTGGTGGTGGCGGGTCGTCCGGCTTGATCTGGATGTCTTTGATCACCTTGCAGGCCAGGCAGCAGAGCTTCTTGATAAGGCAGTCAGGATTGAAGGGGCCGGAGACTATGACAGTGTTCTTCTTCTCATCGTAGACGATAGACTGGATCTTGAATCGCTCTCAAGTAGATGAATTCCACGCAAGACACAAGGACGCCATAAGTACGACCGTGAGCTGGATAGAAGCATGACAGTGGTGGAGAGAGAAATCGAGAGGCATGCATGTTTATGCTTATGCTTACTTTGGAGCTTGCACAGAGCCTTCTTAATCTTCTTGGAGCAAAGGCAGCAGTCCAGATCGACCTTTATGATTACTGTGGAGATCTACGATGATAAACAACGGCAATAAAAGTGCTGCTAGGTGAGATACATATCTCGAGTTCAACAAGGAAGACAACATGGACGGGTATAATTCTAGTGACAGCGAAATTGCGATTCGGAATTTGAATCAGCAGAACTCGATTTGTGATGGGACAAACAAGTGATGGTCTACCAAGCATGTCGATGATCCAACATGCAAAGAACAAATAATTTATGGAACCAACAAGTTAACAAAAAGCTGAACCGGTGCCAAAAAGTTCGTCCTTCAAACCAATTTCAGCGAACAAAATGCAAACCAAAGGAAAGATACATCTAAATAACTCGCGAAACAAAAATGCAGCACGGAGTCGATCCCGAAAGAATCACATCTTTTTTCCCGACACGCAGAATTTACGTTGGATACAAAAGAGCAAATGTAATTTAGCAGAGTATACATGTCGAGGCATCAGAAGGGAGGGAGGGAGGAGGAGGAGGGAATAATCGATGTACCTTCTCTGCCATGGCTTATGTTGAGATTCCAACCAAGGGTAGAGGAGGAGGAGGAGGAGGAGGATGGGAGAAGTCTCTCTCTCTCTCTCTCTTTCTTTCTCTTTATAGATGTAGCTGATAACCCAAAGTGCACTAAGGTCATAAGCCACCCGGACAGGAACACGTATCAAGACGAGAAACTTTTCGACGTACAGTCACCGACTCCTCCCTGGCTTCATGGGTGTATTTGAAGCATGGCTCATGCAACTATTACCTTCGCTTTGGCTGCTCGTGTTTGATTCGGTAGCCTCCTCTGCATAATTCCAGTCAAAATGTAAAATCTCGATAGAAAGCTTGGTATGTAAAATGAGATACTTGAGAATATGGCACCAAAATCTAAAACTGCAGGATTAACATGTTTCATGGGATCACTTGCCTTGTACCATTTCAGCAGCCATTGGTTGGCAATCAGCAGTAGGCCTATCATTTCTCCTTGAGGTTATGGTACAAACCCATAGCAGAAAAGCTCTAATGATCGGTGTAGACCATTCATTCTGTCGGCGAGCCTTACCATGCAAACAAACTGCACACACCTTCTATATGAGAGGAGGGCTTCAGCTTCGATCGAGATGTCTCTTTTTTGTTTGGGCACCAAAGTCAACGCATAAACCTTGTATGGTGGATATGGAAATCACCTGAATGGTTGACTGACTGCATCCCGAGGCAGCTTCTAAACTTCATCACAAGAAAAGTGGGGAACCACCTTCCTTCCGCTAGCTCGAGAGATATCATCAGCTCATAGATTTCCGGTCTCGAAAGTCCTCACCAAAAACCCACACGATCATAAAATTCAGTAAAACTGTTGCTGTCTTTCTAAAAGATACTAAGGATGATCGATGACATAAAGCCTCCAATTTGGCATACTTTTCACTGGCTTTCGGTGTTGCACAGAACTAAATTTAACTTGCTTTCGCCTCGATGAGACGTCGATCGTTGCAAACCAATATACCAAAGGACAAGAAAGGGGAAAGGCCTGTGCTGAATGACTCATCAAGCAACAACAAAAATCATGCCTCTACAAACACAAAATTGTAGGCGTCACTTTCTAGCTAAGCTTTCCGAGCACAACATCTTGTTCCTTTACACACCAATGATAGTGATCTGAGAGCAGCAAAGACGCTTTTATGTGAATCAAGAAGAAGACTCCTTGAATGTACATAAACGAAAACCAAAAATTATTGAGAACATTGAATATCTCCGAGGGATCTTCTATCGAAGAGGTTAGACTTTCACCATCGGATCGGAAGATAGATTCATTTGAAGCAAAGATTTATCTCTCTCGATAACACTAGAACATTAGTACAGTTTAAATTTTTAGTAAGACAATCAACAAACATAAATGACTTTATGGTTTTACTATTAACCATTATGCATGACGATGATATTGTTCCAAAATGGAACTCATCGAAAATATAAACAGAAATGTATTGTTAATCCTTACGAGTCAAGCTGAAAACCATCAGCATTGCCAACGTTATTATGTCTCGACAAACCCATCGGAACACCTTTAACTATGTGACCTACAATCTGTCTAACCTTTGTGTCCGTCCATGATTTGGCAATGATATGGAAACCACACTTCCTCGGTTTGCTACTCATCGAGGCGACAGGAATCAACTGAATCATGCCAGTTTAATTTGAGACATGGAAGAAGAGACCTCCTGGGCTGGGAATACGTGCCTCTTTCGTCTCAGTGGGTGTTTTCGATTCTCTATGTCCACGGAGCTGGATCGATTACATCTCGTGATGAATGGTGACACACACACACACACTTTGTTGCTCACTCAACATGTATAACAGGCACTGCTGCATCCGCAAATAAGACTTGTGAGATGAGGTTAGTATTTCGGTGGTTGAATTTTCTAATTTGATTGATGATTTTGCTTCTCACTGTATCATTACATCTTTTACAAAGAAATGCGTCATTGTTTTGCTTCACATTTCTCCTTGTAGGTGATCGAAGATGTCTATAGAAAAATTTTCCCAAGATATAAGACTCAATGTGGTTCGACAAATCTTATTTATGTCCATAGAGAAGAATTAAATTCTTCATCGTATGAGATTAATTACATGACCTTGAACTATCCTCATTTAAGCATATAAATTTTGAAGAATTTATATTATTTTCTCTCGTTCTACGGAGACTACATAAGATATTTATAAAGGAACTAAACCCTAATTATGAAGATTTTTTATTTTTTTCACAAGAACTCTTTGTGTTAGGATTCCTTATCCTATTAGGACACGGAATCTCAAATACTTGTTAATCCCTATAATCTTTCTTTCAATGAGTATTTTATTTACTTCTATACATTTTAAAGAGAAATACTTTTATTTCACGCTCCTTTTGTCATATATTCTTGTTGAATCTCCGATCACAATATCTTTTAAGCTCTTATATTATATTCCTTATTGGAGAATGAGAGGAAAATTTTAAAATCAAAAGAATACTCAAATATCAACAAGTTAAAAAGCATTATTCGATGTAAAATATAATGTGGTTTAGTAAATCTAGCTTATATCCATAAATAAAAATTAAATTCTTTATCATATGATATCAATTACGAGACCTTAAGTTATCCCTCACTCAAGCATAACTTTCTCCTTATAGACTCTCTCATATAAATTACGAAGAATTTATTTATCTTTTCTAGATATTATAAAGAAAAATTCAAGAGCTCAATAGTGTTTAGTACATCTTGTTCTCTTCCATCAAAACTTAAAGATACACGAGATATTTATAAAAGAATCAAATCATAATTACTAGAGTTTTCTTTCTTCACGAGAACTATTTTCTGTATTAACATTCCTTATCATATTAGGATTAGGATGTAGCTTGAGGAATCCCAAAACACTTATCGATCTCAATATATTATTCCGATTGATAATCATTAAAAATAATTTTAGATTTTTCATAAGACCAGGGAGGATAAAGAAAAACCTAAAATCCCTTAATATAACCTACCATATGAAACTGCTAGAAAAAAGGACAGTGATGATTTCCTTGAATGAATCAAACAGATGCTTTTGATTCCAAACATTTGGTGTATACAAGTAGTAGCGATGCATCACTATTCCTTTATTTGTGACTCTTCACGTTAAGTATAAATGGACTCCTCCAAGAATGGAAAGTAGAATCCCAAATCAACTGGAAACAGTATGAGAAGGTCTACATATCGAGAAGAAGGAGATGAGAGCTTTTGGTCCTTACGAAAGACGATTCAAATTTACTGGAAGAAGTCAGGTACCATATTATAAATTGCAGTAGAATGAAGGTCTTTCAGTAAAAGTACAATGAGATATAGACTCATAGACTCAAATCATTGGCACGCTTCAAATTGGAGACCAAATGTTAAGTTGTGCTTAATGCAAATTATCCTTAATAGTCAACAACGGAAAAAGACAGCCTTTATTTTCTTTAGCTGTTCTGCCATGGCATTTACTACTATTAAAATAACACATTGGTAGGATGAATATTATTATTAGATTCCGATAAGTGGATCATGACTATTATATTATCCCTTAATTCGAAACAAAATATTTCTTGAACCTCGTTAAATATGCTTAGTCCTCTGTAACCATGGCAATTACAAGTCGACTATTATAAAAGATAATCCTTGTGTGTGATAACACTTTTAATCTCATCTTCAACCTTTTCTAAGGTAAAAAGTCCAATCTTTATTAATCTCATAAATGTATAAATTGTTAACTTTACCTATTAATTCTTAAATAAATCTTTGAGGGGAGAATAAAATTCTTGAAGGAAGTCCTTCAGCTGTCCATGTGGGCCTAAACGTCTAGTGAAAGAATATTTTAGTTTTTTCCCCTTCAAAAGTTCCAATAATACTCCATGACAATAATAATTTACTTAGTTGTCAAGATAGCACTTCTACTAAGAAAAAATACATATCTATATATTGATTTAATATATAAAGAATCAAAAATCCAATTAACATTACTATAACTTTCAATAACTCTTAAGGATATCCTACGAAGTTAAAGTCGATAATTAGAAGTACTCTTGAGGTATCTACTAAGTTTGAACAAATGCTGGGCTTAGTCATATTTGCTAAAATAAGAGATACAATGATTTAAGAGTATTTTTCTTGATTTACAAGATTATTAGCATTTTTAACAAAATAAACATTTTGATTATAAGGAATGGAAACAAATGACATTTAGAATATCTAATTTTTTAGTATAATGAGATTAAGATAATAATATAGAATTAGAAGATTTTTGAACTTTCATTCCTAAGATGATGTCAACTTTACTAACATTTTTCATATTAAAATGATAAAAATTAATTTAATCCAAGATTAGATCTAAATTTGAAGCAAAAACTAAGAAATTATTAACATAAATATAGAGAATTACATAATTTATTCTCTATCATTTTATCATATCCATTAATGTAAAATCCAAAAGATAAAATTATAAAATCAATTTTTTTTTGCTTGAGTCCGTATAGAGATCAAATCAACTTACATACCTTTTCTTCTTATCTTGGCATGACAAATCCTTCGGGTTAGTTCATATATATTAATTTTTTTAGTTCTCTACGTAAAAAGATAGTTTTCATATCCATTTGATGAATAAAAAATTTATGAATAGAAGCAAAAGCAAGTACGACTCGAGTGATAGTAATTCGTGCTACAGACACATAAATGTTAAAATAATCAATGTTAGTTTTTTTTATCAAAAATAATGATCAACAAAACTAGCCTTATACTTTTTAATTGTACGATCTGCCCTAATCTTTTTCTTAAAAATTCACTTTTAACTTAAGGTTTTACCCACACGAGATAAGTCAGTGAGAATCTAAGTATGATTACTAATTATGGTTTCCATATCATTGTTTATCATCTCTTTGTAGAAAGAAGCATTCAGAGAGAGAATATAACTTCTTGAAATAAACTTTGATATATCTTCTATCATATAAGAGACAAAATCATCATCAAAATTTTTTTCAATCCCATGCACTCTTGCTTGTTCTAGATTCAACTTAAATGTTAGATTCTATAAAAGTTGAGAAAGATGAAGAATAATTACTTGACATATTAACATATAATCTAGTTTTAAAAGAAAATATATTTTTAAAGAATGATGATCTCGAGATTTAAGAAATGGATAAAGCGACTCTCACCATCCCACCGTTGGCGATGGTTTTGAAGGACCGAAAACATTCACTCGCTTTTCTTACCCTTGCGTTTCAACTGCAAGTAGAACCATCAAACCAGGCGAAATCCATGCGCAGCTATGCACCAGATTGGTACAGTACTATTCATGTACGCTCTTCGTCACCAGAAAGACTTCAAACTGCTAGATGTGTGGTCGATGCAGGCGGAGCAAATGGGAGACGCAAAGCCTGCTAAGAGAAGTTTGTGACCAGGGAAGAAGAACCAGCCCAGTAAACATTGTCTCCTCTTGTTTCTTCGTTAAAAGGCCTGCATTTCAATTCGATTCCGGATGAAGAGCAGTTTACGAGTTTACTAATGGCTTAGTGATATTATCTCGCTAGTCGCCATTTAAATTACTTCTAAAGAAGAAAAGAAAACTCCTTAATCAACAGTTGATCTGCCATTTTTTTTCTCTATAGAATATGTAGCAGATCCTAACTACTGTAGATGTCATTTGGTTTTTTGGCTTACGGAAGCGTGATTCTAATGCAGGTAATGGCGGACCGCAGGTCTTGCCTTTGCCAATGGCTGGATTAAGGTGCCAGTGAAGTGAACCGAAGAAGGTGCATTCGTAGGCAGTGAACGCAAGGAAAACAAAAAGGAAAGCTGCAACTGTTGCTACTCCTTAACATATCCTCCAGTTCTTCAGCCTGGGTATGAAATGTTTGTATTCTTGTTCAGTTAATATGCATTTGCGTCGATCGATAGCTAGCGAGCTTACTTTCTTCTTTAGTTCAATATGTGCCCAGTCATCGTTTAAGTCTTCAGTCATCTGGATTGAGCTTCAAAAGCTCAACGCATCTTAGCTTCTATACGTGCTGCCCTGGTCAGTCAATCCAATGGGCTGCTGGTTCACAAGCATCGGACTTCGTCGGTGTTGGAACCCCGAGACTGTCACATGGCGTCGCCGCATCCCCTGCTGCCAATTCACGGCCACTTACGACCACGACAACGACGTCGCCTTTCTCTCTCTATACGGTCAGTGAGACAACGAAGAATAAAGGACTAAACAGGATCCGGAGATCCGAGAGACGGCAGGGATATGGTGCTGATATGAATCTGCTGCGTGAGAGACATATGTATGCATACATGAGGAGATATATACGGGGGAGAGGAGGCGAGGTCAAGCTTCATTGGCTGGAGACTTAATGTGATGTTGCACCTGGGCGACAGTGACGGCTGGTACGCAGTACAAATCACCTTCTTCCTTGCTACCCTCCCTGCCCAGCTACGTAATGCTCCCCGGCCCCCCGCAGTCCTACTCCGACCGGTCGTTCCCCACGTACCATGACTGACTTCTACGACGTATGTTACTGAAGAAAACACTCTGACCAACCTCTCTGATCGCGTTTAAGTATCGGACCATGCACATACATGGGGCCACGCTGCGACAGCATTACACGCGGCGAGAGAGAGAGAGAGAGAGAGAGAGAGAGGAGACTACGCGCAATCGGGCGTCCATTAAATACAGTAGATTAATTCCCTGTGCGGTCACTTACCGGACCACCAGCGGTGTGATGCCGCCGTCCTTCCCTCCATGCCCTCGATTACAGTGCTCCTCCCGATGTTGTTCCATTCCGGTGGCAATAGAACCCATCCCACTTTCTCCTCTGTGTGGCAGCTCCTGAACCCACAAATTAGAATTCTTAAAGCCTTTTATATATGTATGGAGATAGCATTTGTCTTGGATTGACCTGACATGATGAGGTTACCTTCTTAAAATCTTCAACATTTTTAATACTCATTTGGCTTAAAAAATAATATCATTTTGTAGTTGATCAAGACTCCCACTGTACTATCTTCCCATAAACAATCACCATTCTTTAAGTTTATTTATCCATCTTTTTTATTTTTGTACTTTTTAATGGATTATGAGTCCACGTATTGTATGTATAGAATCTATCAACAGTTTCTACCAACTACAGATCACGGAGGCCCATTACACCATGCACTTGGTGGGCCACAGACCGGGCCCACTTTACCCACGCACATACCAAGCGGCACGTGTGCTACTACCTTACTGAAACTGTTTTTTATGTGTTGGGTTGTGGGGGAGGTTGATATTTTGAAGGAAATAAAAGATTCCTCGTAGGGGATATCGTGTTTGCCGTTCATCGTGGCTCCAAAAAATAAATAAAAAGAAACAACAAAATAAACAAAATCCCGAAACCTATGTAACGCCAAATTAATTTGTAGCGCAGCATCACGATATATATCACCGATAAATATATAACGTGTTATATTGGTAATGAGCATTATATAAATGAACAAAAAACGAGACCACGGATTAGTAACAGAATCCGAAAACAAAACAAAAAAAATACGATCATGCCTATAAAACCCCGCGTTTTGTGCACTACTAAACCCCCATCCCTTCCCCCCCCCCGCCTCTTCTCGCGCCCCCTCTTCGCCTTCTCTCCTTCAATTCCCTCCCTCCCATTCGATCTGCTCTTGCACCGATGTCGAGCTCGCCGCCGGAGCGACGGGGAAGGGGAGGCGAGGAGGAGGGCGGGGAGGACGCCGCGGCCGCCCGAACACGCACCGGTGTTGGCCTCGGCCGCCGCCGCGCCGGGGATCCCTCATCGTCGCGGCTGAGGTCCGCCGACGCGGTCTGGCCGGAGCACTTCGTCGAGGCGGTTGCCGCCCAGGTCGCCGTCGACGCCGTGCGCTCCGCCGGGAGGTTGGCCGCCGCTCCTGCCGTCGTCTCCGTGTTCCAGGTTCTTTCTTCTCTTTCTTTATACATCTTATTGCCGTATCCCCCAACAGAAGAATACATCAGTTTCTCGATCTGCTTCGTTTCTTACATAGCCACGGTTTCACATTAGTTATCATCAAGATCATGCATCAGTGGGCTTTCTTCTATGATTTTGGAACAATGAGACCACGGATGCACCATGATAGTAATCATGACTGCAACATGAAACGACATTGGAATGATAGGTTGGGCAATAGACCTGCTATCCTACAAGGAGAGCATTCGGTAGAATGCCTCCACGTATAGGTGTTCTTCGGATTAGTCCTTCGTTTCGGTCATTTCTCCTTTCTTCTGTGCGTATTTTATTCGTTTGGTTTATATTTATTGTGTACAGTCACACCCCTGTGTGTGCTGCGGCAGTAAGAAGAAGACTCTTCTTCTTACTGCTACTCTCTTTTTTGACCATTGTCTCCATAGCCAGCTGCGCTTCGCCGGCGCTAGTGCCTCTCTCTCTCACCCCACATTCGTAGGCAGCCGGATGGCTGGCTTTTGCCGCACTGTTTGCTGTTAGCAGCGGACATCCTTTGAGACTTTAAACACGATTCTGCTGACCATTCGCCTCTGTCAACTTCATTATTTCTCTCTTACTCTGCCTTCTCTCTTTCGTGCAACCTATATCTATTCCTGACGGGGGGTCTGAGCAAAGAGCCAGTGGTGGGAGGAGGCGTGTGATGCTCTGTTCTTTTGACCCTCGCTTCGCGCTGCGCCCGTTTTAACTCCCCTCGATCCATCCTTGTCGTTGCTTTATTCACTCACTCACGTTCGGCTTAACTCTCTCTCTCTCTCTCTCTCGCTCTCGCTCTCGCTCTCTCTCCATCTCTCTCGGAAAGGAACAAAAAGAGAGGGGCGAGCTCGGGGTTGGCGCACTGCGGATGGGATGGGATAGGCGAAGGCAGAGAGGAAGCGCAGGCGCCGTCACCAGACGCGCGTCCCTTTCAGTTCCGTTTTTGGTCCTTTTTTATTGGGGAGAGGGGAAGGATACCAACACACACTCTCTTTTCAAACACTGTGGAGTATGGCCCCCCTCGTTCTTCTGCATCAAAATGTAATGTATGATGGTGTTATTAGACGACGAGGAAGACAAGGGCAGTTAGGAACCTCTGCCGTGATGACGGGTTCGAATGGGAGGGTTCTCTCTCAATCCTTGGGTTTCAGCCGTAGCTAGGAATGTTGTTTGCGTTTAATTAATGGTGGGTGGGCGAGTGAAGGTGTTGGTAGAGGGAGTGTTTTTTTTATGGCGTTCCTTGGAAATGAAAGTGTGGGGGAAAGAAGCAGCACAGCCTGTGCTTTTTGTTGCATGGGCAGACGAAAGCTTCGCTGCTTTCGACGACTTGGGTTCGGCTCCTTCTTCCCTCACCGCGCTCGACCTGGCTCCTCTCTCTCTCTCTCTCTCTCTCTCTCTCTCGGTCTCTCTGTGTCCTTCCTCAGACCGAGGGGCCATAGGCTGCACCAGCCCTTCCCCACTGGAATCCCCATCTTGTCCTCCACGGTCAGGGAAGGAACATTGTCTACCTCAGCTGCTCTCTCTGCTGCTGACAGCTCTTTCCCAGCACATGCACGCCTTATTCTTAGAACCATCATATATGCATTTCTCTTCATCATGCGATTTCAATACGTGGGTTCTATAAGCTCCCTTTGCATCAGGCCTATACATTGTTATTGTTCCCCTCGTGCCTGCTTCGCGTTCGAAGACTGTACGTGACTCTTCCTCTCTTATCTTCCTGCTTGTTCTGTTAAAATGTGTTGGGTTCTATTATAGCTTTACACGGAGGTCAAATGCTGGGGGGAGGTAACAGTGTCGTCGTTCCGTACTGCCAAAGCTTATTCGAAGTCCCGGCAGCTCTCGACGCACATGGTCTTACTGCAAAGTCCAACGCCGAGGAGGTTGTCGTGTAGCAGCTCTTGCTTTTTGTTGATGGGATGTAAGTATCCAGCCAAAGCAAAATCAGATTCAAAGTACTCTACACAGAGAATTGAGAGGAGAGAGAGAGGGGAGAGGAGAGAGAGAAAAAGGGTCAATCAAATCTCAGTATCTCGCACAGGTCTCGCCATGCCACCTGCAGTTCCTGCTTCCTTTCGTGACTGCACCACCAAAGCCAACCTTTTGGTGGGTCTCGCCATACATGTCCTATTACTGTTCACGGGCGGGGGTACATCCACCATTTTTGGATGGGTTGAAGGGTGGCTCGACTAGTGCTCTCAGACTTTCTTAGGCATGCATGCTAATGGAGCTCCACGTCCAGTAAGGGGGGACGGAGCAAGCATCAAACACCATCTCTGAACGATGCGACGAGCCACCCTGAATGCGGTTTTCGAGCGTACGAAGCTCGTACATTGTCGAGATCGCTGTGAGGATTGCGGGAACAGTAAGTCCGGGAGCAGTACGTCATTTTGGTATGGTTTAAAGGTGACAATAGAAAGGCCGAATGCTGCTCCTTTTGTGGCCTTATTTTTATTAGCTGCAGCTTTGTTTTAGGGACGATATACCTCTAAAACAAAGCCAAATCACATGGGAGATTACCACACACCTCAGGAAGACGCGCCCTGATCTCTTAGGCGTGACACGCAGTTGTGCGTCGTCGCAGAGGGATTCACGGGATCCTATTATAACAGTAACAGATCGATGCCTCTCGTGGATTCTTCGTTAATTGAAGCTTTTGATGCCTTCCCTTGTTTGTCTTTGGCCTGTCGTTGGCCTTCTCTTTCCTACGGTACGAACGAAGAAAGGTCTTAAAGCTGCTGCTACACCTGCTGCCTCGATGGCCATCTTATTTAATTGCTGATCTCGGCCTTCGAACCACGAGCTCCGCTTCTTGACCTTTTATGGAGTTGAGGCAGAGGATCTGCTGGTTTAATGGGTGTGCTGTTGAGTGAGGCTCAGCATCACTTGAATGCACCACGGAAGTACATCGCCGGAAGCCTTCCCTTTTTTTTATTGCGAGTTTGATGGAATTTTTCTTGGTATGTTAGGAGATCTAGGGAGGTGTGCATGATCTTATAGAGGATCTCTGATGTTTTTTTACTGTGATATAGCATTTAAAAGGCCGGAAAATGCATTTGTTATCACCCCATAACTTGAGGTGTTCATTAAGCTCGCAATTTCAGCAAACCTTAGATGCATAATCTAACATACAAGAGTTATCCACCAAGGTGTGTAAAACTAGTTTATCTTCTACTGAAGGTTGTTCTTTGTTACCAGCTTTCTGGCTATTAAAGGTCATATGTTTCTCTTCTCGTGTTGCCAGCTTTTGCTAAATTTTGAGTTGGAGCATTAGTCTCAGATAACTACAGTTACTGTAATACATTGCACCCTTTCTTTTTTTGTCTAAAGTTGTTCAGATTGAACTGTTAACAATTTGCTACATTTGTCCATAGGGTGTTAGATGGTCCAGTACTTTCTCTATTAAGTTCAGCTGTAGTTACCAAAAATGCCTGCAATGTGTACTGATATGTTGTTTACCTGAACTGTCACATCCTTTTTACTTAGTAATAACTTTTTTGATACATTCTTTTGTTTGTTTGTTGTGAATTTTGTATCCTTGAGTTGTAAATTTATGATGTAGAAGCAATAGCTTTTTAGATTCTCTATGAAAATAGGTCTTAATGGTTGATTATTTCTGGTCAGTGGGGAATTTATGGTTTGTTTGTACTGGAAGGTTCTGTTGATGGTAAAAAAATATATAGCCCTTTTCACTGTCTCCTCTTAATATCCTTTCTTGAAATGTACTTTTTGATGTCTTCCCTTTTATATTTCTTACCTGTAAAACCCAATTTTTTCACCCTTCGTTATTAAAGATATTTCATGTACCATTGCGTGACTCTGATTCATTGTTGGTTTATGATTATGAAGCCAAAGTGTTCTGTTCCCCAAATGGATATTTTCTGGACCATACTGTTTTGGCAATTCTGTGAATATTATGCATTTGATATAAATCTTGTCGGTGGAATCTAATATTTCTCATTATGTTCTTGTATTTTGGAATTTCGAGAAACATAATGAAGGTTAGGTTTCTAAACCATTTGGACTGGAAATTTATTCAGTGGTAAAATGGTTATTGTGTAATGTCAATTGAACAATGTTGAGGAGTGGTCGATTCTCCTTTTTGTTTAATGCTGAAGGATTAATGCGATGGGTCATGATTCAATGAAGCATTACTCGACTTATGATGAGTTAAGCAGTTTGCTAATAATCTCTTAGACTAGAAAGAGTATTTCTCATATTTAAGGGGGTAATCATTCTATAATGAGAGAAGAAATCTTTGCAAGAATAGTGGACTTAATAAAGGTGTTGGTGTAGCGTTCTGAAAATAATTCTAAACTAAAATTAATAGTCAAATAACACAAACAATGATGTAGCGCAAGAAGAGTGATATGACTAGGTTAATGCTAGAAATTCTTATATCTTAAGGGTAAAACATTTTGTTCAAATCACTTGATGATCAATTGTCAAGAGTATCAGGTCTTTGAGTTGGCCAAAATCTAGCTTTATATGTGGTGTTACTTTTTGGATCGATATGATTTTTGGGTTAAGCAATAAATTTGCTGTATACAAGCATGAAAATCATATAGTAACACGACCTGTACAATTTTTTATGTTACTGTTATCACAATCATTCCAATGCTAAATTAGTGTATGATACAGACGCTGTATAAGTAGTTTCAAATGTAAACCTATTTTTCGATCTACTATACTATGTCAGGCTTGGTTAAGGGTTCCATTTATTTTTTTTGCAACATGGAAGAATTACTCAAGGAAGTTGTTTCAAAGTAACTTTCCTTTGACTTCATGTGGGGTGGATTAATTAGCAATCATAACTTATAACTAACATGTGTTTTGGTGGTACATAGTGCATTCTATGCATGTATTTCAATGATCTTTTATCCAACTATTTTTCATCTCAAACTTATGGCTTTCACCCTCTTTGTTTTATAACGATTGGTTGATTGTTGTGACTTGCCAATTCTGCCAATTTATTAGGATTTGGATTAGTTTGGCTAACTTTCACCGTCATCTCTTGCCATAACTATATTAAATACGGATAACTTGTGAAATTCCCCTTATTGTATAGTTTCTTAATCCAGTTTTAATATTTTACTTGTCTCCTCAAGCAAAGTAGAATCTCATTTTCAGTGATTAAGTGGAGGATTAACTGCTACAAGACTTGGTTACATTCATATACATGCTTGTGAAACTTATTAGTTCTTTATTACCTTAGTTGTCGGCAAGACATTATTATCTTTTGTTCAATAACAGTTGGTTTTGATTGCAATTCCGTAATTGCTCGATCAAAATGCATGCGCGATTTGCCAA